AAAATCACATGACCACGTAAAGCGCAGAAACAGGCACCGTCTTTAGGTCCGGTGGCACCTTGAAGTGTTTTCCATTTGCCAACGAGGAGCTGGCCTCAAATTGGAACCAGAAACAGGTTTAGCGTCTGACTCTTAACCTATTGCAGCTGTGTCACACACACACACACACACACACACACACACACACACACACACACACACACACACACACACACACACACACACACACACACACACACACACACACACACACACACACACACACACACACACACACACACACACACACACACACAGACTATCAGGGTCTACATACACACACAGGTGCAGCAGGCTCTGAACAGGGTTAAGAGTGAGCAACTGTATTACACCACGGCGAATCAGAAGCATCACATCCACAGAGTAAGTCTCAAACACTTGTCCGCATTTATCAATACGGCCATATGTGCCCGACATCATGATCGGTTTTAAATCTTGTCGGAAAAAACAGGATGGGTATTGTCTTTTCTGCAGCTGCTGTGTTTAGTAATGAATATTACAGATGTTTCCTGCGTAAAGCTGTTTACTGCATAATGACGTTATGCACAACGATAACTGTGTCATTTCTCACTTGATGACAAACAACTTCTTTGTTTTTCATGTTTCCCTTTAAAACTGTGGGTTTTCTCCGGAAGTTTTTCCTTGTACGATGTGAGGGTCTAAGGACAGAGGGTGTCGTATTGTCATACTGATATTCTGTACAAACTGTGAAGTCCACTGAGACAAATGTAACATTTGTGATATTGGGCTGTATAACTAAACATTGATTGATTGATTGATTGAACTTCTCAAGAAACAATTTCGATGCCATTACTTTGTCCTAACTGGTCCTACATATGAAGTCTTTAGCTATTAGTTGTTTTCTCATATAACCTCTGGATAATATCTGGAAATTAAGATCCTGAGATTGTCACTGTAAGACTCACTCACTGGAAATACTCAGATTGGTTAAGACGAGGAGAGAGGCCATAGCACAAAGGACATGGCAGTCAAGTAGCTTCATAAACAACCGAGTTTATTGCCATTTCTTGAATTTGTCGGACATTAATCGGCATCGACCTTTCCTCGCAGCAACTCCCATAACTTTGTCACCAGGGAGACTTTCTATTTGACGTTTTCGTATAAAATGACGCTTTTTCTTGACCCTTAGATGTTTGTTTTGCCATGCCAGCCATGATGGAGTCGTCATTAATCCGCTACCTCGCTCTGATTCCCCGCACTACTCTATTTTCACATGGGCTGAATCGGACATTACCCAGACTTTGTACTATAGTGAGCTGGCAGGGTAAAGTCCGTTTCGACTGATTCGGACGTATGCGTTCTCACATCTCCTTAGGGTAAAGTTTAGATAACTTCAAGGTTGCGGTGCATTAGTGAAAGGGGGTTTTGTGAAGGATTCCAGGAGTGAAAAGCACCTGATACCTCTGATAGTATCTCATCGAAGTGTGTGTGTTTACCCAACACGAGCAGAGTGGAGAGCAAAGAGGGTCCGGGCCGGTCGGGGGTTTAGCTGCAAACTGCCGTTGTTTGGGGGAAGAGGAGGGAAGAGTCGCATTTCAGGCTGCAGGCGATGGTTCAACAGAATTGTCCTTTATCAGAGTTGAAATAGATGGATGAATGAGTGTATGGACGGCATTTATGTAAAGGTTCAGTCTGAGGCCAGAGCGTTTCTCTAACAGCTGAAACTTTGTTTGCAAGAGGAGAACTCCAGGCATCACAACTATGCCTACTAGGACGTAAACAACGGTTTCCTGAAGAATTTCCCTTTTTGACGAAGTCGTTCTGTGAAATATAGAGCAGAAAAGGGATGTTTAAACATGACAAAACATTGAATATTCCCCATAAATCTGTACATTCCAACCACAGAAGCAGAAAATGTGCAGAAGACGGGAACACGGTGAATATTCTTCAGGAAAAGTTATGGTCATGAGGCTTTTACAAGATGGTATAAAGAGGCTGTGTTTGTTTCGAAAGACTGTGGTTTTATTCTTTGTTGGCATGGTTAGGAGGCATTTGGTTGATTGCCTTGAATTTGTTACATTTTCTTAGAAATAGACACAACAGTTTTACAATTTTGTAAAAGTGCATGTAAACGTTTTCTAAATGCCTGGAAAATCCAATTGTGTTTAATTGAGAATAAAACCTAAAATAAACCAGAATCAAAATAAGGGCAATGGGGACGTTACACAACATTTCCCCAAGTTTCTTCGACCTTTGATTGAACGTTTTCTATGGAAAGACCGTTCTTCTTATGTCAGTTTTCCAATTGTGTTAAATTGCATGCGAAAAGTTTTCTAATTACTTCAAAAATCCAATTACTAGTATGTTATGAGAGTTGAATGCATAGTATAGTGGAATCAACCAGAATCAAAACTAGGACATAAGGACGTCGCAGCAATTCCTGAAAATTCTGAATTGGCCAAAAATGTTAAATATGACTTAATTTAATGAAAAAAACAGAGTCATAGGGCAGGGACGTTGGACATTTAACACAGCAATTCCCAAAAATGTGTCTAAGTATAACCAGATGAACCAGAATCAAAAGGAAAGCGATAAGATGAACACCCCCTTTGACATTGTGACTATAATGAAAAAGTGAAATATGCTTTAATTATATATGCCCTAACTTCTAAACCCACAATGCAACAGTAGGCCATTGCAGAGACAAATAAAGGTCACGTTCCTGAGTGGGTGGGGTCTGCCGTGACTCTCCCACTTCCCCTTCCCATAAATCCTTTCAAAGGCAAAGCCAAAACCATACTGGAAGGATTTATGGATGTATTGTTGCTTTTGGTCTTGAGAATAGTTTCTATTTTTCAGCACTGCGATGAGTGCAGCGATGGTTTGGAAAAGTCATAATAAACTCCTTGATTGAGTTGTGAAGTGTTTTCATGCAGACCACTGACCCCCAAAATATAAAACATATTGGGTTGACAAAAGACATTTTTTTAACTGTATTCAGCGGCCACTGTAATAATTAATGTGCTGTTTTGTTAAAAAATCTAATCAGGAATATAAATAATTAATGACTTCCGAGAAGTGGTGATTTGAGTGCTTGATATTACAAACAAACTCATTTTAGCATTTATAAAGTAACATTTAAACGTACAAATTAGAGGATATGTAAGAATAGGTTCAAGCCCATAAATAATAATACAAAATCCACATTTGAAATGACAAAAAAAGATTGAAAATTGTAGGGTTAGGTATGTAAAAATAAATTGGAGGTTAAACATTTGTTCCTCTTTTTATTGCATTGAAATGAATAAATATTAAACGTTTGAGAATAAATTAAATACAATTATTTGTACCTTTATTCTCGGCTAATATTTTGTAGAAGGTGTACATAAGATATATTTGACGTTTTCCACTCTGTCATTTCTCACTTGATTTATATTTTAATAGGCATCATTTAGACATTTAAAAAGTAGCATGTAAGTCAGGAGCTCGTGTGTATAGAGCGAAAACAGCACGTGCACTCTAATTACAGTAGTCATTCCAATATAAGCTAGTTGGGTGAATTTCCCCCGAATTGAAATAAATTGAAAGAAACCTGTTCCTCATTTGGCTGGAGACCCCCTGGACCCGCACTAGGGCGCCTGGAGCCACACCCCCTACACACCACCAATTTGGGACCACCCCCCCACCCCCCATCCCCCCCATCCCCCCCATCCCCCCTCTCGGCCCTGCTCGTGCCCCGGATGCGGCGATGCAGGGGTTAACGCTGTGACGTGGAGCTCCTGAAGCGGTGACCCACGGGGGCAGCCAGTGGGGGCTGCAGGGGGAGAAAGAGGAGAAAGCCGAGGCGGAGGTCCTGTATGGGAGGCAGAGGAAGAAGACTCCAAACAACCGCCGCGTTTCTGCAATTATCTCCAAAGCTCGTAGACTTCGCTGCTTCCGCATTTAACTCCAACCTGCAGCTCGTTGGTTTTACGCACCTTCAGTAAAACGCCTTGGAAACGGTGTGTGTGTGTGTGTGTGTGTGTGTGTGTTTTACTGCATTTGCATTCATGTCTTTGTGTCTCTCGTCCAGGCAAACCGCAGCTAAAGGGAGCTGCTACGGTCTCCCCGATCTCTGGAGCGAGATCGGGGAGACAAATTCACTTTTACGCACAAACTTGTCCGGACCGTTTGGACCTGATCAAAGGCTGCGGGGCAAACGCCGTGGACTCTTTAACGCCTGTGCTAAATGTTTATGGTGCTCTTCGTCTTCACACAATTGAACCCGTGTGTGCATTGGCTGTGTTTGCTCGCGCGGTCATCTTCACAACTAAATACCCCTGAAACTCGGAAGGGCAGTTTAAATATAAGGCATTGATGGCGAATTAAACAAAAAAGGTGGGTACAATTAGACAATCAGGCGGTTATTAAAGATATCACTTTGCAAAAATATCAGTTAAATTTCCAGATGAGTGCTGATTCATACAAACTCTTAACTATTACGCACTATTAAATAACGACCATGGCCTGTCTTCCAAAACAACTCGGTTACATGGTGCACAGGAACATGATTACCCAAAAAGCTTTGATAACACGTGTTGTAAGAGGGGATAGTTTGTTCAGAAAGATGCATATGGAAGTAGTGATAGGCCTCCTCTCCTCCTATATGCATGGATTCCGTCAGCATAATCACAAACAGCACAGGTTAGAGGCTAAGGTGTGTGTTTCGGTGCGTAAATGTGTGTCTCTAAACTCGTAGACTGTATATGTGTTGGTGTGGATGGAAGGGTGTATTCCTGGTGTGTAACCCATTGATGATGCCCCCTCCCCTGTTAAAAAAATAAGTAGGGAAAATGCAAGAAAGCTCGCTTCTCCTCTGCTAGACAGGGAGAGTGCATGGGAAAGAGAGAGAGTCTCTCTCCATCAATTTTCTGTTTAATGTCAGCGCTCCAGCTCCATTGTGGGAGAGAGAGGACGCGTCATGCAGACATAAATTCGCTATTACACTGCCTCACGGAGAGAGACTCACATCCACAGGATCCGGAGCTTGTAGTCGGGAAAACCCCTCGGTGGATAAATTCAGCAGAGAGCTAAAAGGAAGCGCAGCGCGCTATTTAAGGCCATACATGCGAACGCGTTTTGGATAAAGCTTGTTAGAGAAGGATTTTTTTTCTCGAGTTGAAGTTTTTGTGAGGAAGAAAGACTCTTTTATCAGGTTGTGCGTTTTCCAATGTGTATCCTTAAATACATGTATTTGGAGACGGTCGTTTTCTAGGTACGTGTTGCATTTTATACTATGCTTAATCGTTTGTCAGTGCAATTTATGCGGATATAAGCTTTTGAAAATATATGTATCTTCACGGAGTTACGACTATATTGTAGTTTACAAAGCTTGGTTTAGGGAAAAAAACCCTCAAGAGGCAGGCGTCATTTCTTTTCAAGTGACTAAAGGACCAACATTTTGTCAAAAAAAACAACATGTTTATTCATTTATTTGCGTATTTACATATAGAATTAATAATGCAATTTGGGCAATTTATTTATCTAAAAAACTTTGCATAATCCTTTTTTGAACGTTTCCAACCACTTTAAAATGTGTAATGACTGCACGTATAGACTATTTGAAGCATTTATTTACATTTAAACTTGAAATGTTAACTTACAATAATGGATGGATACATGTTACTTAGTGAATTTCGACCTATTTCTTGATCATTGAGTTAATGTAAGAAGGTTGATCAGTTAGGCCTCTTGAGGGGCGCATCACACACAAACAAACACACACACACACACACACACATACACGAACACAAGGTGATTGAACCATGTAAAGTGTAGTTCCTTTAGTTGATCGGCTCCGCAGTTGGGTGTTATAGTTTGTCAGGCTTACTTGTGTTATATTAAGTTACAAGGTTACACTGTATAGACACACACACACAAACACAGATTTTGGCAACACCGTTGGCCATAAAGCCATCCATCCGAGATGACACACGCGTCTGTTTCAGGTAACTTTTTCTGATTTCTGTCTAAATAAGGACCAATACCTCGAGATTCAGATAATCAAAAGGGGAGTCTCTTAAACCCCCACCAGGTATCATGTATAACATTGCTTTTGCAGTTATAGGTTAACATCTGTATTTATAAAAACATTTCTTACAATCTAATTTATGAACAATTCTGATTTACATCCTAGATTTAAGTCCATTTCTATAAGCATTTCCTGATTATTATTTGTTATATGAACGTATACTTTACAGAAAAGCAAATTACGTATTGCTGTTACAGTGTCCAGTTAAGTCTACATTGAACCTGCTTTATTTCTTAGTCTCAATGCTGAAACACATTACTGTGAGTTTCTATATTATCTGAAGAATAACACACAATGAGTAAATGTCCAGGCAGCACAACATATCATAATGTATAACTACACGTAGAGCATATCAAAAAGTGCCATTCTGGATAATGCTTGTTATTGGACACATGACTGCTTTCATTCATAATTTGTAGTTTAACTTGTTGGTTGTAATCCCAAATGTTTCTGGCTCTTCTGATCATCCAGTGACACGCTGTTGCTTTGGATATGGAGCCACCAAATTAAATAGTTGTCAGACGAGTTCTTTGGAGAGATGATCCAGATTTGATCTGATTATAGGTTTAATCCTTAATCAATAAAAAAGCACTAAATATGACCACATAAGGACACTGAGTCATACAAAAACTGTTTTGCTAAATCCAGTCATTGTCTTGTTGAAATAATCAATCGTGAAATGTTGAGTTATGGATTGCAGAAAGTCAGCTGACCTGTTGAACCCATGGCCCAAAAACACTTAGAACTTTTTCGAGTTTTTCCCATGAAACAACACGTAATTGAGGCTCGTATTGCTTGGGATAAACCAGAAAACAAAGACATATCTATAATGTGCTTTGCATAAAAGACAAAATGACGTGGCGTGTCACATGTCAGACACACGATTTATATGTAATCCCATTATTTGCGTGTGTTATATCAACATTTAGGATTAAATTCCCCTCAATGTCTGAATGCAGACTCCTACATAAGCGTTGATGTAAACACGCTATGGCTGTAGATGTTCAGATGATAATTAAAGCCTCCACCTGCGTGTTTGGATGGCCCATAAATAGATGCTGGTGCTTTCATCTCCACCATACAAGCCTGGTGGTGGTTACAACCGGATGTGTGTGTGTGTGTGTGTGTGTGTGTGTGTGTGTGTGTGTGTGTGTGTGTGTGTGTGTGTGTGTGTGTGTGTGTGTGTGTGTGTGTGTGTGTGTGTGTGTGTGTGACAGGCAGCCACTAATTTGGTGCCCGAGCTATTCCCCCCACCACCATCAATATGTTCTTCTTCCTGCACTATCATTTCAAGTGTTTTGGAGAAGAAGAAAGTCTTTACTTTTCATGCCAAGCTTTTCATGACCCGTCGTGATGGCCGAGCTCCTCTCCAGCGTATCTGTCAGGATGATCAGAAATAGCAGCATCTGTCCTGCGCACACAGAGAAGAAAAGGTCATGTTGTTTTTGTGTCCAGTCAACTTCTGACTCCATCATGTCTTCTACTTCTTCTTCTTCTTGGGTGCCATTGTTGAAATGTGGCCACGAAAGTAAAGGGAAAATACGTTATAGTTGTCGCTGTTGCATAGCCATTACGCAGAACAGTCTCGTTTTTCAGCGATGTATTACGCATGCTTTTTCTAATAAGACTCCATTGTCTCTCGGGGTTGTTGCAACACCTTTAGATAGCTGGGGCGTCTCCCTGGTGAACGGCCCCGTTTGGAAATGGAAAGGGCTATCACAAATATCTGGCGAGGTGCGCGAGAATCGGGATGGCTGCCCTGCATGGAGGGCCTCCCGTGGAGACAGCTCTCCATTTGGACCTAATTTAAAACCAGCCTCGCCAATGTGTTTCCCGTTTACTGTGAATTATGCGTTTTCTTTATGTGGTCCTATGTAGACGTTCAAAAGTTTATTCAATTAATGTGGGTGGTGGTGCAGGGGAGGGGATAGCACCCGCTTTAAACGCACTTTGGACTCTTTCTAATGCGCATAAAATACCGTATTCGCATATTTTTAGGGAGACATGAGAAACACAAAACAACACTGAAATGATGCATGTTGGATTGAGCAAAAAAAGGGGGCGGGGGTTATAGTTTACAAGTGGACACAAAAGCTTTTACAGTAATGGGTCAACATCATTATTTATAACTTTGTTTTTTGTGGTCTAATTTTGGGACAACTCAGATTTACATCCAGGCGTCCAGTCAATGTAATATATTCATACATATTTCCTGATTTTTTTCGAATCTGAACGTACAGAATGTGGCACTTATGCAGCAGTGAAGAAACAACATTTCATGGTATTACTTTTGTGCTACAGTGTCCATTGGAGGGATGTCTACATTAAACCTGTTTTACTTCTGAATCTCAATGCTCAAACACACACTTATTGTGAGTGTGTGGCATCAACATGTGAAAAAAAAGTATACATATTACTTGTATGTTTACTAATTTTATTTATTAATTCATTATTTTTCTTTCAATTTGGCCACATTTACGCACAAAATTGACATCCAAGAGAGGGGGAAGAAGGTGGTAAAGGCTGGCCGGGATGTGTGTCTCCTCGCCGGGGAGGAAGACTCCTGCTCACCGTCTAAAGCAAGAAGTGAGGGATGTCTATTAAACCTGTTTTACTTCTCTCATTAATCAAACACACACTTATTGTGAGTTTATGGCAGAAAAAGCATCAACATGTGAACATAGATTGTTTAGTTATTAATTTAATTTTCCAATTTTGCTACATTTGCACACAAATACCACATCCAAGAAAGGGGGGGAGAAGGTGCTAAAGGCTGGCCGGGATGTGTGGCTTCTCGCCGGGGAGGAAGACTCCTGCACACCGGTGTAGGGAGGGGGGGGGCGGAGAGGATGCGAAGAAGGGAAGGTGGAAAGTGTCAGTCAGGAACGCTTCATTGCTTGAGGACAATCCACGCGTAGGACCGGTCTGTTTCAAGAGCAATCAGTCAATCCGCATTAATTATCCCCCCCCCCCCCCCCCCCCTCCTCCACAGTATAGGGTAGTTTGCGCTGGCACACGGACCAGAGGAGGTTGGGGTGTGTGTTATGCTTTCTCTCTCTCGCTACACACACACACACACACACACACACAACCACACACACTCATCCACACACGCACACCCAACCCCCACCTTTTAAGTGAAAAAGAACCAATAAAAATCAAGCTATAAAAGGCTTTTCCTTGTCACTAAATAAATTAAATGCAGATTTCTGTTTTAAGTGCCGGACTCCTTTTGTGAGCTGGATTCTTTATTGTCCCTCTGTCATTAGTGCTGAGGGCAACACTGCTGGGGGAGAAAAACAGGGGAAACTAAGTAATCTCAAAATAAAAAAATATATATTTAATTTATTTATAATTAGGCTGCTGTGTGGGCATACCAACATATAGACAAATGGACATATTCTGACATTGTTATCAGAGATTCTGAGCAGTTAAGTGAGGAAAAGTGACACATTTTCCTAAGTTTGTGTGAGATGCAAAATCCTACAAACATCATACATTATTTGTATTCACTATTATGTAAATATTGAATGTATAATTTCACTGCAAACCTGTTGGTAAGGATATCCTAATGGTCATTTTTGGATCCAAGATGCCTGTTTCTGATGCAGAGCATGTGTGCGTATTGCCTATTAATTAGTAACAATATACATATTCTTAGTGAGTGGGTATAATGACTTTCTGATAGACAGCACCATTTCATGAGTTTTGAAACTCCACAAAGGTTTTTTTTTGTGTCATTTGGCATTATCAACAATTCACCCTTGTCTTGCTGGTTGCAGGGAACATTATGGATAGTCAAACACTACAGAATATAGCAAGATGTTTTTGTATACGTGTGTGTGCGTGTGTGCGTGGACACGTGGTGGCTGCAGCCCATTGGAGAGCACAGGGCTTTGGTATGCAGGCTGCTATGTAAATAGGAAAAGAGGGTAACGATTATCTAATTACAGACGTGATAAATCTGCTCTGCTTTGGCGTTATTTGATTTGAATTATATATGTATCCATTAATTCTACTGTATGGATGAAGGTCTCGTTTTTCCTCCATGCACACAATTTATAAGCTATCTGAGGGCTGCAGACCGGCTTTGGTCTCCTTTGTCCAGTGTGTTTTGTTGGGGGGTGGGGGTGGGGGGGGGGGGGGGGGACCAATAAGAGAGGGAGCGAGTTTCTGTTTTAATG